CATTCCAACAATAACAACATAAAGCAACTATCTATTAAATGATTGTTTTTAGGGAAAAAAACATTACCTAGAACTGGAAAATCAATGAATTTGAGGAGGTGTACAACAGTGATATCGTTGGGGATGGAAGTGCTAGTAGAGGTTGGTGGCGGCGATGACGTGTTATAGCTCGGGACCTTGATCTTGTGATAGGATCGGTGTTGTTGCTTTAAGGTGTCGTGAAATCCTTTTGTAACCTAGCCTCCTATTTTCAGGTGACTAAACTAAGCTATTGACTAACAATACTTTATTGAATATTTTAAAATTCCAGCATCCTATTCTATGAATGAATACCTTTTAAATATAGATAAACAAAATACTACAATAAGGGAACAAAGACTCTAAAATCAAATCAAATACTAAACGGTCTAAATTACAAAATTTAAAAACGGAAGATCATAATTACCTAGTTTAAAAATGGAAACAAGATAATTTCCTTATTATCGACTAACTTGAAGACTCATCAAGTGTGATTCATAACATTACTCCCCTCCTCTGCATTGAGCTTGTCCTCAATCTCAATAGTAACCCATTAGCATTGTGTACCTTATCTTTAACCACCATGATGCAAAATAGTTTGCCATATTTATGCCCAATCGATAATATTTCATCACAATTGAAGCAAAAGCCTTTTACCCGCCTCTCTGCCATTTCTGCAGCCGTTAGTTTTATCCAGGACGGATTTAGTGTTTCAGTTTTGTAGTTCCCAACTGCCCCTTTTCCTGTTGACTCTCGATTTTGGTTTCCTGTAGGCCCGAAATCCTTTGGTTGTCCTGTTTCTACCACCCTTAGCTTAATTTATCTTGATAGATTCAGTACATTGTATAAAATTGTGGGTCTCACAAATTTAACCTCATAACTTATCACATTTATTAGACCCACACAAAAGTGCCAAATGCTTTGCTTAGGTGTGACCCCTGTCGTCCAACCCAACAACAATTTGAAGCTTTCGCAGTAGTCTTCTACCATCAGGACTTGTTGAAGTTAAGTTAATTCCCCTAAGGGGTTCAAGCACATAGGCGGACCGAAACAAATTTTGCATTCTTCCAAAAAATAGACCCAGTTCAAACGATTTCTCATCCTTCTCAAGTTATGGTACCACTTGTTTCCCCGGCCCACTAAGGAGAATGTCGTTTGGCGGATCCGAGCCTCTATTGATGTTCTTCCAAGAAGTCCTTACACTATTGTAACCATTCGAGTGGGTCACCATTGCCCTCATACCCCAAAATATCCATCTTGGCAAATCTAGGCACCCAATCGCCATTGTAACCTCCTTTGTCAATCTCATCCCAATTTTATTTGCACATGTTCTTGTTCGATATGTTGATTGGGTTCCGATCCTTCTAATTTGTGGAAAGCCTAACGATGTTTAAATGATTTTGGTTCTACATTGCGCCAAGAATTGGATTCCTTTCCTACTCCCCATCTTGTTCCCAAGGGGTTTGATCCAAATGACCCCTTTGCTCGACATAACACCATGAAGGAACTAGTCAAGGAAAAACAAAATAATGTAACAAGGAAGCAAAGTCTCTAAAATCAATTTAATTACTAAATAATCCTAATTACCAAATTTAAAAACATAAGATCCTAATTACCAAATTTAAAAATGGAAATAAGATAATTTCCTTATTATCGACTAACTTGAGGACTTATCAAGTATTATTCATAACACGACTGTGGTTGAAGATCAAAGAGGGAGTGGGAAAGAGAAATGATTGTGATGTCGTTGGAGTAGAAAGAAAAGAAGAGGGATTGGTATTGCTGAAACGTAAGGCACAAAAGCAAAATGGAATTTTTTGTTTTAATTTGGATATGGTACTACCTCGTAATTTTTTAAAGGCTTTTGACTAATTAAGAAGCTTTTATTAATAGTAGGGGTGAGCATTGGTTGGTTTTGACCTAAAACCGAACCCAAACTAACCAGCTTTAGTATCAAAAAAAAAAAAAAAAAAAAACTAAACCTATGTAAAGAGAACCAATGGTATATATTCTATAAGACAAGACATAAGTTGATATTTATACACAAGGGTGATGTGGGATGCGCGTATAAGCCTTCAAAAATAAAAACCAACATAGATGTGAGGAGGGGATTCAAACTCGAGACATGGGGTACACTCCTAGCCTTCATTGTCCAAACACTTAAGCACTTGACCAATCTTTTATATATATATATATATATATATATATATATATATATATATATATATATATATATATATATATATATATACTTATAAAGAAAGCATTTTTCCTTTCACCACATTCATTTGAAACTCCCATAACTTTTTAATTTCTTTCAAATAATAATTATAATTTGGTTAATTAGGTTAAATAAATATCAAACCTAAATTGTAATCATATACTCCATAAACTAAATTTCAATATTAAAATAATATATTTACTTCTAGTTATAATATTATGTTTTTTAACTTTTAACATATTATACTTAATTCATTAGTTTTAACATATTGTTAGATATAACAATTATTATTTTAAAGATAAAATTTTTTAACAGTTTGTATAAAATACTTAAATTATTAATATAAATATAACATTATAGGGTCAACTAAAATATAAATTTTAGTTATAAACAACACAGATAATATTCTGTAAATAGTTATAAGTGATAAATTATAGTGCATTTCTAATAATGATTATAAGTTGGTTAATAAGGTTAAATAAATATCAAACCTAAAGTGAAATCATAAATAAACTAAATTTCAATTTTAAAATAATATATTAACTTCTACTTATAAAGCCATGTCTTTAACTTTTAATATATTATACATAATTTATTAGATTTAATATGTTGTTATATCTAAACCATTATCAGTTTAAAGCTACAAGTTTTGAACAGTTTGGACAAAATCCTTAAATTGTTAACTTAAATATAACATTACAATGTCAACTTAAATATAAATTTCAGTTCCACTTAAAATAACCAAAGAATATTTTATTAATAGTTAAAAGTGATAAATTGTAGTGATAAATGCAAAAACCAAATTATAATCTAAATTTAACTAAAATATTTCCTAAAGATAGTTTTATAATCATTAAGAGCTTTTAATTAAGTAGCTTAAAATAGCTTACAATAACAATAGTTAAAAATAACTATATATAAATTATTATATTGTTACCTTTAAAATCAAACAATAATGTTTGATATTTTAAATAATTATAATAATAGAAACTAAAACATTAAACAAATAAATTTTAAAAAAATAATTAACAATAGTAACAAGTAGAAATAACATTAAATCATATATTATCTTTAATTTTATTCATATGTAACTCGCGGGTAGAAGTCATTCAAACGATTAATATTATGAAGTTGTAATACATATGCATATTATAATATAATTCAAAATAATCAATATATTATATTAATTTAGTATATGAATTATTATATCAAATTTAACAACAACGTTATTGTTATATTTAAATATATATATATATATATATATATATATATATATATATATATATATATATATATATAAAGACTTCAATCATATTGGTGTTTCTGGGCATAACAATGTTAACTTAAATATACATTTTAGTTTCATTTAAAAAACTAAAGAAACTATAGTAAATAGTTAAAAGTGATAAATTGTAGTGATAAATTCAAAAACTAAATTGTAATCTCAATTTAACTAAAATATTTCCATAAGATATTTTTATAATCGTTAAAAGTTTTCAAATCAGTAACTTAAAATAAGTTACAATAAAAATAGTTAAAAATAACTCAATATACTTTATTATGTTGTTACCTTTAAAATCAAAAAATAATGTTAGATGTTTTAAATAATTATAATGATGAAAATTAAAAAATTAATCGAATAAATTTTAAAAAATTAATTAACAATAATAACAACTATAAATAACATTAAACCATATATTATATTTAATTTTATTCATGTGTAACTCGAGGGTAGAAGTAATTAAAACGATTGAGATTATGAAATTATAATAGATGCATAAATTATCATATAATTCCAAATAATCAATATATTATATCAACTTAATATACAAATTATTATATCAAATTTAATAAAGTTATTGTAATGTTAAAAAAAACATATATTTGTAAATATTTCAACTGTATATGTGTTTCTGCGCAACGCGCGGGTTTTCGTCTATATATATATATATATATATATATATATATATATATATATATATATATATATATATATATATAGAGAGAGAGAGAGAGAGGACAAGTTTTGAAGTAGCAAGAAAAAACAAAAGGAGTAAAATGTAGAAGAGAAGTTTTGAACTAGCAACCTCAAGTTCATAACCCAACATTTTTACCACCAAATCAAGCTTTTATTTGTATTTATAAGTCATGAAAAAAATATATACATAACAAAAAAAAAAAAAACGTATCATTTAGCGACGACAAAATTCGTCGCAATTGGTTCCACCTTTCGTTGCTAATATCTTTAGCGACAACATGACATCGCTAAAGGGTCATTGTAATTGTCTCGTAGCTAATACTCCTTTTTCGTCGCAAATAGCGTCATCGCTAATACTTGTCATGGCTAAATGGTCGATGTCGTCCCTATTGACGTCGTCTCTATTACCATTTCGGTCACCATCAGAGTTTTTCCAACTATTCTTACCAAAATCAAATGTCGTCGCAATTAGTCAATATCATCCCTAAAGGTGTCATTGCTATTGTTTTTTTTGTTTTTTTTTTTTTTTTTTTGAAAAAAAACAATTTATTTATGATAATAGTTTGTATATATTATAAAATGCAGCTCTAATAAGAATACATACCATGTTACATAAAACATCTAATTTACCACATTACATAAACTATCTAATAAATCCCAAATAAACATCTAATATATCATCCATAAATTATCTCTTAAATCTCAAATAAACATCTAATATATCATCCATAAACTATCTAATAAATCTCAAATAACATCATCAATAACATAAAACAAGAAAAACTATGTGTTTGCATCTTCACCATCGTTGTTGACTTGATTTGTAAATGAGCGGATAATGTCTCCAATGGCCGTCACAAATGTCGGGTTTTGAAGAAAAACATTCACATCAACATCCTACAATTAAGTCACAAGCACAATAAGTCATTAACAATTTAACAAACTATCAAACCATCAAACCACCAAATGAATTAAGTCAGTAACAATTTTAAAAACTATTAAAACACTAAATCAATTAAGTCTTTAACAATTTAACAAGCTACCAAACTACCAAAAATTACTATAAATGCATCAAGTTCTTAACAATATAACAAAGCTACCAAATTCTTTAAGAATGTAACAAGTACATGTGTTGGTTGTGGTACTTGTGACTGTGACTGTCATTGGGATTAAAAACTTGTACCCATTATTGAAGAAGATTTAGGCCCAATGCCTCTCACATGCCCCCTTCGAGTACCCAACACCTTCTCAAATATTGCGATCCCATCAATGGTGTCTGGATCACCAACGGAGTCGACTATGTGATGAGTCTGTAGAACAACCTCAACAACTATGACATTCTGTATTTCATAAAGATTGTCAATATATGTTAAAACTAACACAAAACAAAAAAAAACAATCTACTTCATTTTAAGTAATAATAACATACATATTGGTCTTCAACCAAAGGATCAACAAATTCCCATTTTTTATTCAAATGCCCCCGATGAAATGCATCAAGTCTTCAAATTCTGTTTAACATTACAAAATATGTTATACTTGAATAAACATTAAAAAAATATGTTATAAATGAATAAACATTATTGTAACTTACTTTCTTAAAACAAGCACTATCGTAGCTGCACGTCCCTCCACGATTCTTAATTACTTGCTTCTTTCAGCATTCTTTGTTTCCAGCTGATCGTTTTTGATGTTTTTCTGTTAAGAAGTGGTCAATAGCAACATTCCAACACTGCAGATCCATACTTGTAGGGGCTTGAGCCCTTGTTGCCTCCACACAGCCTTGAAAACCAGTCAAACAAGTTTTTGCAATATTTTTGCGGCCTTTATACGGCGCACATACCCGATGGTTCAGTGACGCCCAATAAATTGGATCCATGGGATGATTTGTAATCGCTGCAAAATCAAATCATGTATACAAAAAAAAAATAGAGAAATTAAAAATAAATCAATGTTAAACATATTAAATGTATAACTTTATAAATAATTTACCGAAAGATACCGAATTATGATAACTCTTTCAGCTTCAGAAACGTCTGTCCATGTGTTCTTATTGAAATCGATGTCATACCACAAATAGCTTACAACCTCCCGAATGAAAGATTTGTATACTTCCATCGACAAGTGAGTATTTATGTCAAATACTATCTTCAGAGACCGGCTGCCGTTAGCTGCAAATAACTTGTACATTTTTTTTTGTTTGCTGCCATGCCTCTTCGTTTTGGAGGCACTGCTGCATAAAAAAATATTAGTCAAAATAATTTTTTATATACATACAATATGAAATACAATGAATTAGAATAAATCTTAATCACCATCGATCTAGTGATCACCAAAACCTCCACCGAACGGATGTGGACCGTCACCTCCATGGCCCATCACAACAGCCATGAAATAGAGCAATGCAATCCAAAAAAATGGCATCCTGAAAAATTATAACACAATATGAATATATATATATATATATATATATATATACATACATACATACATATAATATAATATGATTACAATAAATAAAAACCTTATTTTACTAATGAAATGTAAAGATTTTTTAATCATTCCCGCCCTCAGAGACTTCAGTATCTATTGACACATCACTATCATAATCTGAATCCTCTTCATCATAATCAGTCTTGCAATCAGACACATTCTTGATGGTACCTATTGGTGGACCAACTTCAATATCATCTTCAATCGATTGAAATTTTTGTAAGTACTGGCTAAGGTCGATTGAAAGAGTGAAATTAGAAGAAGCATTACTAAGAACGATATCGGTTGAATCGTTTTCAACATTTTCAATGGGATCATGGTCGACATCATTTATCGGTAGATTCCAAGTTCTTCTATGATTAACATTTTCAACAACCCACCGTTGGTTGTCATTTTTGTCACTTCGAGAAGGTTCATGGATGTAAAATACTTGCTTGGCCCGCGTAGCAAATATGAGTTGATCTTCGCTGCTCATTCGCATTGTGGGTTGATAATAGTGAAATTATTATCCGATTTAACTCCTATAGTATCAACCCACTTCCAATGTGCAACTCGATAATCTCTTCTAGCTGACCGTAATATTTTTGCTTATTCTCTCCCTCAGTTAGAACCCTCAAGTTTTGTGCTGATCATTGGGCGTCACACATAAGTACCATAAACCTAACATCATTCACCATGCAAGCGGTATAAGTAAAGGAATTCACATGCGCACCAATTGAAAGAGCAGATAACCTCTTCTTAAACTATGGATATTTTTGTTTTTGTATGTCATAGACCTTGTGAAGGAACCATTTAGGGAATTTGGTTTTTTCATCGCTTTCAGGATGTAATGATTTGAATTCACTACATTGATGCAAAAAAATATATAGATTTAGCAAAAAAAAAAAAAAGAGAAATTAAAACAGACAATGAATTAAAAGATAAGAACAATTACGCAATGTACTTTCTGACTTCGTTATAACTATCAAGCACAAACCATTGTAGACATTTTCTATCCTCTAGACTGAGATTTGTCATTTTCTTTGCGCTAGCCGGTTGACACTTAGACTGAAATACCCATAATTTTGTTTCTTCTATGACAACATCCTCCTTTCTTTCAAGGCGATTGAATCGAGTCTCGACATCTTCAAGGTACATTAAACAAAATGATAATGTCTCTTCAGCGACATAACCCTCAGCTATAGAACATTCTGGCCTCGCCTTGTTTTTGATATTTTTTTTAGTTTTTTCATATACCTTTCGAAGGGATACATCCATCTTATACATACTGGGCCTCCGCAAATAACTTCATCAAGTATATGCAAAACTAAGTGAACCATAATGTTAAAAAAATGAAGGAGGATAGATCACTTCTAATTTGCACAATATTTTAATAATGGCTGCTTTTGCTTCTTTCATATCCTTCACCGATAGCATTCTTGAGCAAAGTTGCTTAAAAAGTGTACAAAACTCTACTATTGGTGTATAAACACATTTGCACAAAAGCCCTTTAACTCCAGTGGGTATCAAACGTTGCATAAGAATGTGATAATTATGAGATTTTTGTGTTAGTATTAGTTTCATTCACTTTCTTACTTATGTTAGATCCAAACCCATCTGACAATTCCACATCTCTTATTAACTTACAAAAAAGAATGCGGTCAGGTTTCATGAACGAGTAAGGTGGATGGTGTTTAAGGAACTTGTTGCCACTCTTTTTCAACCATTTACTTTTCTGGATGTTTAGTTTTGTCAAGTCCGCCCGAGCATTTAATGTGTCTTTAGACTTATCATTCATCAGAGAAGTACCCAAAAGACTCACACCCATATTTTTTTTTTCAATATGTATAAGATCGAAGTTGTGCTTCAGCTCCAGAGAAGAACAATACTCAAGTTAAAAGAATATGTTGTTTTTAGACCAATTCAAATCGAAATCCTCATGATCTCTCTTAATACTAGCTCGTTGAGCAGCTACTTTACCCGGTGGACAAAACAATAGACGAGCGTGTTGCACCATTATAGTCCCTGATTTTTCTCCATGGATGGTTAGCATCTAAGAACCGGTGATGACCAACATATACGACTTTATTTGATACTTGGTATGACAGAGTGTCTTCGTTGCAAGTCGGACAAGCTTTGTACCCTTGTCCGCTCCAACCGGATAAACTACTATCAGTTGTAAAGTCGTTTATTGTCCATAACAACATCACTTTCATATTGAAGAATTTATTTGTCGTTGCATATTTAGTACGTATGCCAAAACTCCATAACTGCTTCAACTCATCCACCAACGGCCTAAGGAACACATCCAAGTCCTTCCCGGGTGCTTTGGGGCCGGGAATAAACAATGTCAACATAAAGGATGACTCTTTCATGCATAGCCATGGTGGAAGACTGTAAGTGGTGAGTATGACCGACCACGTGCTATGAGGATCACACATGTTACCAAACAAATTAAAACAATCAGCAGCAAGCCCTAAGCATACATTTCGAGGTTCCCTCGAGAAGTTAGGATACTTCATATCAGATTTTTTCCATGAAGTACCATCAACAAGATGAAACATTTTACCATCTTTGGATTGACCGGTACTATGCCAAATCATATATTTAGCTGTGTGTCTAGAATAGTACAAACGTTGTAGTCTCGGGGTCACGGGAAAGTATCGTAACACCTTATGAACCACCTTCTTACCCTTTGTATTTTCATCAACCTACCGACTCTCATTACAAATTCGACACTTTTTCAATAACTTTTGTTCTTTCCAGAAAAGAAAGCAGTCGTTTTTACATACATGTATCGACTCATAACCTAAACCGGTCTTTTTAAGTGTCTTTTTGCTTCATAATATGACTGGGGACCCTGTTTCCTTAAGGAAATGCAGTTTTCAAGAACTTAAGAAGCTAATCGAATGAACTATCGGTCCATTTGTTGATCACCTTGATATACATTAGCTTTGCTAAAAAGTCACGGGACGAAAATGAACATCTAATATATAATTTTAATTGGACTTCCTCTAACAGCTTTTGAAATCCATCATCGACACCGCTACCCTCTGTATCCAAGTTCCTTTCATCGCGGTTGGTATCATTTTCAATCACACCCCCATAACATCAACAAAAACATCGCCCATCTTGTTACTACACGGTATGTCTTCGACAACCGGATGAACTGTATTTTCGTTGTGATACTTCCATATAGTATAATTTGAACTAAAACCATGTTGAAGTATACATAATTTGATTATGGCTAGTAGTATAAATTTATTGACATTACATTTGGTACATGGGCATCTGATTTAACCTTTGTTATCGACGTTTGGTTTGGACCTCTCGATAAAAGATTCGAGTCCTTGTTGGAACACGGTTGAGTTACGGTTTTCAACAGTAGTCCAGGTTTTATCAATAGCCATGTTGCAATTGAAACATAAGTTAAGTTTTAGTTTTTACTCTACAAGAACTAAAATTAGGATTGAAAGTATAGATATTGAAGTGATAAAGTTAATGAATATGATGGATTAAGTAACTAAAAAACCTACTTTTTATTTTTATAGCATTATACTTTAAATAATGAAGTTATTAGATTACAACTTAGTAGATTTACCGTCTTATGTTTTTCGTTTTTGTTTTGTATTATAGCATTTTACATCAAACAATTGTAGTGTGTGTGTGTGTGTGTTTGTATATATATATATATATATATATATGTATGTATATCATCTTTTCTTTTTGTTGTAATGCTGACTACTCCTTTTAATTAACTATTTGTTGGATTGTAATAATTACAAAATTTATAATGGTAAAATAATAATATATTTGATTAGATTGCAATGTCTAAAATTCTAAATGCCAATACACTTAAAGTGATTTTTGATGCGTTAAACTCGTTTAATCCAATTTTTTATTTTCATAATAAGATTGTTTATTTGGTTTTATTTTTTTGAGTTAAAATTTTCATATATAATTGGTAGTTTTTTTTCATAATAAGTTTTTTTTTTGTTATCATAGTAAGATACATTTAATCTAATTTTTACTTAAAGTGATTAATATTTCAATAACTAATTTATAAATAATTTAATTAGTTTTTTATGGTTGTATTCTTGAATGATAACTATCATATTTTATAAATAAATGGTTGTATTACTTAATCGATTAGTATAATAGATAACCATCCATTTTTGTGATTATCTCCAAGTAAAAAGTAAAATGATATGAAAGTTTAACAAAAAGAGAATTTGTACATTGTCTTGATGTATCTTGATGTTTTTGAAATACATGTTTATATAAATTGAAATAATGTTCATCTGTCAGCCTTAATGGGAAATGGTGTTGTTAGAGTAAAAAAAAAGAATTTGTACATTGGAAAAGTCAAAAGAATATGAAAGTTGATTATATCAAAAGAATATGAAAATTATATCAAAATCTTTTTGGAAATAGTTAGGTTTGCTATCAATAAAAAAAATATAAATATAGTCACTAATGTTTGGAATCACAAAATGTTTTTATTTGTATGTTATAAACTGAACTATGACTTTTTTTTTTAAATATATAAAATATATTTCATAAATGATATCACTATAGAAAAAGATTATGTATTATGATGTATTTATTATATTTTTTTAATATAGAAAAAAATATATTTCTAATAATCGTATAAACATTCTTAAATTTTACATATAAATTCATAAACATATAATAGTTTCACATATATACATCAATTT